AGCCGGCGGCATAGCAGCGCATCGAGTGCGCAAGGAGCGTGACGAGATCTCTACTGTGTCAGTTACAGAAAATGAAACAACTACGTATCGAATGACTGCCGCTCACTGATCAGGATACAGGTTGTCCACGTCCCGCGGCGCTTTGCGGCTTAATCCGGACTCCAAGCCGCTAGTGGAATTGCGAAACTTAATAATGCGGGATAAAGTACCGGCAAATAGGGTTCTGTTTACTAATTGAAACAAAAGCGACTAGCAGGAAATAGCAACTGTAACTCATGAAAGGAATGGGCTTATTTGAGGCTGCATACCAGCCGGAGAAAACAAAACCAAAATTTCCCACCAGATCTGCCCTGATGTCTAGGGGCGTTCTCCTGAAAGTAGAGTTCATCTGCTCGACAGCTCGAAGATAAACTTAAATCGCGATATGTCAAGTGTAGAATTGGTTCAGTGATGATACCTATGCAGACATTTAGGAAGTCACGGTAGGTAAACGTATTTTCTCGATTCTTCATCTCCAGCCACAACTCAGTAGTAAGTAAGGGGCGGTGTTCAGGAATCAATGGATCAGACTCTAGGCATAAGAATGGCCCACATGCCTGTCATGTTGCGAGACGACGAACTATGCGTCCTCATGTCTCTTACCACGACGCAGGACAGGGAAGACGGGCGACATGAACCAATTTTTGGACTCTGGCTCTCCTCTCCTCTCTCTGGCTACTTTTTATGACTAGAATCTGACCTATTGATTCCTGAACACCTCTCCCTGCCTTACTGATTAGCTGCTCAGACTTTTGTTCAATCTGCCCTCCCTTATATTATTGCAATTGCCTCATGAGGAATAATCACAGACCTATGTTCGCCCAACTTGACCTGTAAAATTGATGTTGTGCGGGCCCTGAGGAGGGTTCTTCAATGTACACCTTCACGTAGTCATTTCAGTTATTCACAGCACCTTGAGATAAAATGAAGGACTGACATTCCTTTTTTAAGTCTACGCCAATTACTAAACGAACTGAGAGCAACCATAGAGAGCAAACCTTCGATCTAAACCCTACAGTTAACAAGAATCCAAACCTTAACGCATAACGTAACCATAACCCTAACTCTGACCCATCCGTAGATCTACTCCTACTCATCCTTCACATTAATCCGAAACTTAATTTTCGGGGCATTTCGCACAACGACACCTGCATTGTGTCCTGTTTAGACGGTCGTTTAAGTCGGCCCTACCTACAGCCTCCACTTTGAAGCCAAAAGGGATTGCTCACGAAGACGTCAACGCTGGACGGATGCACTTTTTATCCCACCGGTCGACCTCTCCGCTATTAAGCCACCGGCCAACATTCATTCCAAGGTGTTTAAAATCGAGGAATTCAAATAACCATCCACGAAGCGACGCACCGAGTGCGCAAGGAGCGTGCCGAAACCTTTATGCTGTCAGTTAGAGAAAATGGAACAATAAAGTAACGAATGACTGCCGTTGAACGATGTCCCCGTCCCAGAGGCTTAATCTTAAAGTCCCCGCTGCCAGTCGCATTGCGATACACAATAATGCAGAATGAAGTGCCCGTAGATGCGATCCTGGTGAAGCAAAGAGGTGAGCCTACAACCAATTTTCTAGCCGACTGAGCTGCGAGATAGACACCAGGAGCGCTGAGGTCAATGCCCATAGACCTTAAATATACTGGCAAATACTGCGAACAGAAATTAATATCGACGGAAGTAAAAAGGTGAAATCTACAGACGACTAGCAGACGTACTTAGGAGGTTTTTGAGAGAAATAATTCATTCGGCCCAATTGTGCGCAAGTAGGCAGTCGGGTAGATTGACCCAAGTGTGATTAAGCTCACGGCTCCCGGCGGTGGCCTCGCAGTCTATTATACTGTAGGAGTCTGCCACGCAGCGCAACTGCGCGTGACTCTTCCTGCCTCCGCTCTGCCAGGCCTTTATCCCACGCGTTATTATTCCCTCCTCGCGCTATCGGCCTTTCTTCTGCTATCGATGATCTCGCTGTTGGATAAGCGTATAAGCTCTAAGGCAATCGGTACTCCTGCTTCTTTTGATTGGCTGCAGACGACAGAGTGCTTATCGCACAGGCGAAACCTACACAACAACTCACAAGGTCATGGACACAACTGACGTGCAGACATAGCTGGCAGCTGGCTCGTTTAACAGTCTTTCATCTTCTTGTAATAAAGCTCTGTCTGATAAAACTGTCTTGCTTGACTTGTGATCTGGGGAACCTTCTTCTTGTCGACGCAACTGTTTGCAAAAAGTGATGACTACCGACGAACACATTATTCTTCCAAATCTACGATTAATTCGGGTTTTGACAATGGGCAGCTTTCCACCGGAAAATCAACACATTTTGGCGCCTGCTTCTGGCTCTCTTACTGCTGCACAAATCACCCAAATGACTGAACGGTTGATGGAGATTCATGGCTCTGGCAAAATACAAGTTGCCGCAGTTCCAACTCCTGACGTTCTTCCTGCTTCTACTCACTCACATCTGATGTTTGTGACCACGATCCACTTAATTAGAACAAACCTACTTTGAAAAATATTCTGTAGGTAATTTTTACAGTACATTCGTTCCTTTTGGCGGTCAAATGCAGTTCGTTAAATAGCTGGCATCCTTTCGTGACCGAACTGAATCCAGAAAAGACTGCATAGTAATCATGATTACAACCCTACTCAATGCCGATTAAGGAGAGAATATCAAACTTTCGCATATGTCGGCATGTTACACGAATTTTATGCCATACTGTAGTAAGGGATTGCCGGTGAACCAGAGGAAGCAGGGGTTAACGTGCAACATCTAAAGCTCCTCTAATTTAACAGGGTGGGTAACGTACTGTATCTCAGAGCCCCCAACTTACTCCTCCAACAATTAGAAACTGAAAATCCGCCCTCTCCGGCATCAGAATTTCAATGTCATGAAGCGCCAGCTTTGTCATTGCGGAGGATGTCACATCCAAGATGATGGATTTGCGTTGAGAGTACTTGGTTCTGGGGTTGACATATTGTAGGAGACCGTAGCGTCCGTCTCTGCCACCTGAGATGTCGTCTACGCTTTCAGCGGCCGAACGAAGTCTTCGGAAGTCCACTGTGAATCCCGGATGATGTCGAATCATTCGCTCCAGAATCCATCGCAGGCGATAATTCGCTGGATAGGGTGTTCCAGACATAAAACAGGCATTAACAATGCGCGCATGTCAGAAAGGAAGGGGACACGGGAACTTGTTCTATGCAATCAGAAGGAAGTTCATAATTTGACTTTATGTCGATAGGTAATGGGGCATTAAAAAGTTTACTCAAACATCAGTTTTTTATAATAAGTGGCTTCCAAACTTTTTTTAATATTTGAGGCATACGGAGGAATATATGCATTGTGGTCGTAGGTTGCGCCCGGCCTTTACTTCATTGAATTAGCAACACAATGAAAATTAACCATGCCAAAGATGGAAAGGCTGAATTATTTAATCAATCGTCGATTGCTGGAACCCGATGTACCTGATTTATGTGCGACGTTAATAGCAGACGATCATGTGGTCCCAATACAAGAGGCAAGGTGGATTACGCTTTATTTTGAAGGTGGCATCCATTATTTTTAGCAAATTATTCAAGTGGCTTCAAAGAAACTCTTTCAACTGACCTGTTTCTAACATGACTGACATATATTGGGGTTATACTGTCACAATTCTACTAGAGTAATCCCTTCTAGTAGAAAACATAATTAAGAATATCGGATAACGGTTCATGAATGGTGAACATGCACCAAAGAGTGTCAGTATCTCCCGATGTCAATCGGCAAGAAAACGAACCCATAGTTCAATCGTTAGAGCGTTAGACTTCTGAGCAAAAAGTCGCGGATTCAGCCCTCGGGTAGGGCAACACCGGGGGGTCCGGTATGGCTGGCTGATGACAGCCAATCAGCCCAAAATGGCCATTCCAGTCTCCCTTGTTTTTTTTTCAGCAATGTTAATCTGACTAGATTATTAGCCGCTGTTCGGCTGCTGGCGAGACTCGAAAATGAGCCCCAAGACAGAGCGGGACGAGTGAGTTCTCTTAGCGATCGGCGAACATTAACCAACGCGTTTCATGAGCTATGGCAGTTACTGAGATGGTCAACTGGTGATTTCCTTTCAAAGGGCAATTCGCTTATCCTCCCGCTCACGCTGAACGCTGATTAATATTTGTGTGTTACAAATGCATTTGGCATGAGAGAAAGTGGCTACGGAAGTTCTAGCGCTTTTCTTGGTGAGGAAAGCTTAGTAGTTAGAAAGGGAGTAATACGCTTTATTTTTAATGTGATATCCAAAATTTTTAGCATAAACTTAATTTATTCCCTTAATAAAGGATGTATTAACAAAATCTTCAAAATCTAGAGGTTTACATAAGATCACATCTATTATATAGACAGATGTAATCTCAGTTTTTGGATTTCTGTTCCTTCACACGTGAGATAGCGTGCTAGGGATGAAAGTGCAGAGGGCTGATATGCCGATGTACGGCAGGAAATATGGTGTAAGCTTCTGCGCTTAGTACAAGAGGACTTCACAGCCATTAATTTGGATTAGAGTAGATAGGCAATCTGATCAAGAATGCAATCAGCAAATGGCTTGACCGTTGCAAAATGTCACTGTATTATTATATTAGCTAGTAAAGCATAATAAACACGGGTCTCTGAAGGCAGCATCCAGAAGATAGGTTAAAAAATTAACCCGTATCGACTAGCAATGACTCAAAATTATCCCTTTATTTACCAAAATGGAAATGAACAGGAGCAAATGGTTCTTCTTTCGCCATAGTTCGTGAGAGCAGTACAATTTATTAAGGGACGATTATGTGACATTAACATTGTTTACAAAAATTTGGACGTAAGATTTTGACATCGACCCTCTCTCATTCCTGAGGTCTTTGTTGTTCTTCCCAATGAGCTATCATCTTGATGTTAATTTGTCTTCAAATCCCTCATTCTCCCATCAAATTAAAATCCTTTTCACTAAACTTTGTAAACCTCTATATCGTATTTGTTATTTGTGTTCATATTACACTCCTCGACCCCCTTATTTGGCAATATATAGATGTCCGCATTCTACGTCTACGTATCCATTGTTTTTTGATTATTTCTTCTGCTTTGTTTAAAACACTATACTCATTTTGAAACTCGTTCCAGGAAGGCTATTTCACTCCTGCTGTAGACGTTTCTTACGCCCTTCGCTGATATCCAAACAAAAAGGCGTTTACCAACGGTGAAGTAGCTTTCTAGTCCAAATCTGGAGGATACTGTTACTGCTTTAATTTCTGCGAAATCTTTCCGCCGCATACGCCATAAAGTCTACTGTTAACTTTCACATAAAAGTAAAACATTGTTTTCCTGGAAGAAATTTGAATAAGGCGAAGATCACGAGTTGAGTAGAATTTAATGACGTCATAAATTTCGTGACCACTCATTCAGCTGCAGACCACTCAATCAGCTAGAATTTGCTCTGCGGATACGATCGATAAGGAGAGGAGTTTTCTCAAGAATGTGTGGCTTGAAAACGGCCATCCTGAGAAATTCATTGATAATTATCAAAACCACAAACAAGAAATTACTCCTGAAATACCAGTGGCAAAAAGCTGGTGAGCATCTTCCTCCCTTTCAAGGGTGATAATGTCTCAAACGTGATAAAACGGAGGCTTCGCGGCACAGTTGAAATAACTTATCCCGCCGCTAAATTGTTGTACGTAAACACAACAATGACTATTCCAGTTCGACCGACTAAAGACCCTCTGCCTACGCACGCCACTTTAAACTGTGTTTGTGAGTTCACATGTAGTTGCGGATGCAAATACATTGGGCGCACGCAAAGGCAGTTGGCAACGTGGTCAGTTGAACACATGCCGAAGTTGTCGCTCAGGGCAGAACATAAACTACCCAAGAATTCAATCACAAAGCATTTAGTGGACACTGGCCATAACGTCGATCAAACGACTGCATTTAAGGTCGTACTTCGAACGACGACCAGGCGTCTCCTAAGTTTTGCGGAGGCCGCTGCAATACGGAGAAGAAAATCAGAACTCTGTAAGCAGCCGGACCATGTGATCAACCTTGCATTGCCTTGGTAACGATCGATAAACTAATTCCCGCTTACGCCTCCTCGATACCCTTAGGACTGACTGCTACCCTGTCCCTTGTCCCTGCCTTAACCCCCCCCCCTTTTAAACACGTCCTACAGGCTTTCATGAATGTGCACTTACGTGAACTGCCA